TTTAAATATATAATATTCGCATCTTTCTTCATTATATCTCCGACACAATTCAATGCAAATTTGTTATTAAATCAGTCACTCAAGGTCATTGCGAACAGTTATTCACCCCCTCCCCCCCTCACTCATATGAAAAAAGTCACATGATCTGAATATCTCAATATCATTTTGACCTTCTTCCGGAAAATCTAAGCCTGCATGACAGGGATTATCAATGGGGGTTAGACCACTTCCCTCAAGTAATTATCTAAATTCAAGTGTGAGAAACTACTTCCCCTGAATTAAATTTTGCTAAGGTAACCGGTTAATCGATTTAAAGTGCATCTAGTTCTCAGTTCAGATTAATGATATCCGTATAGGCTTATCTCCGATAGATATCGCAACTTATTTACTGCAGAGATGGTGGCTTTTCAGCACAGGAGCCTAGTCATCTGTATATGTGTTGACGTAAAACGCAGTTTTCGCCTTGAGTGCTATTTAGATGGTGCGTGTAGATTTGCGTTGCGTGATCTACCTGTGGAATTTACAAATTAAATAGAACTTAAAGGGCTAAAGGTCTCAATACCCAATTCAATTAAATATGCCATTGGGACTAGCATAAATATAAAATAGTAGTGACTGGAACTACGTTATTTTGAATTACCGCTTGTTCTAACATTCTAGTGGAGCACCAGGAGATTTGGGAAGGATTTCGAGATTGGATAACCGATGATAACTCTGGTGACAGATGATTGGAGTTCGATGCAATGTTTTAATTCACTGTTAAGAAGTAGATGCCCAAAAAACCTAAAGTACGGGTTGTTTTTTTCTTGCGCTTTCATGCGCCCATCGATAAAGAGTGAAATAGCTGCATATCAGAAGATTTCTTTCTCCACACTTCAACAACGAGTCAAAGAAATCGCCTAGCCATTAAACCTTATTAACCCTCCCCCCCCCCCCCCCAAAGCAAACCACAGAACTCCGAGAAAAGACCAGATCTAGCAGAAAGGTTTTTACCTAGTACATCGCAAAGTCATTTGCACAGGTGAATATAACGAATATAGTCTATTAAGTGAAAGTAATATGATTAATTATTAATACCAATAATGGAGGATAGAAATAATCAATCACAACAATCTCCCACCCCAAACCAATAAATTTAAACTAGGGTCTAACCAGTATTATTTTCCCAGATTTTCCACAACTTCAGAAAATACTTCGCATTATAGGCCTATTTCTTGAGGCAAAGTGCGGGAAGATTAATAGAAATTGATCGGTGTCAGTGCGATCTACATCGCAAAAAACAGATGGGCTTTCTCATGAAAACAGTGCCAGGCAGAGTTCAACCTGGCTTAAGGCTAATTCATTAATACGTACCTTCTCTGAGTAAAAGAACCAAGTCAGGAAAGTAAGAGTGCATTTACTCAACTTGGAGTTGATGTAGGAGGGGGGGGGGGGTGCAAGAGAATTGTGCAATTGGTCTTTCATGAGGGCATAATGTTAAATGTGAGAGGGTGAAAAGGTAGGGAAAGAGAGAAATAAATAGACGCTGAGTTTAACTGACTCCTTGTAGAGGAAGAGATCGATAAAACAGTGTAAGATAATGATTTTCTAGAAGTCAAAAAATGGTGAGTCATAATATATATTTGCATAGTTTGATCTAACCCATGTGTAAAAATTAAGCCGCTAAAATTCACCTCCATTGAAGTGGGAAAGTTAACAGTTAATTTTTTATGCATTGCATCAAGATCTCGATTTTGACACAAATTTGAGACTATATTTTTGCTTTTAAAATGATGAATTGTACTCTTTCCAGCAGTTTCGGCCGACTCTATGAGACATAGATATGGGCTACTTTTCAGTGGTGCATACTTTCATTCTTTCTACTCTTTAAAGAGAATTCAAGAAAGCTCACTTCCGACAATGGAATTTCTTAATTGGTTACGAAAGTATTAAGGAGTTGAAAAGAATAAACTAACAAAATAACTAGACAGTGCGGCACTAGTAATTTGATTTACGAACAGATTTTAATGAATCATCCCACCACTAACCAATGAGAGAGCAAGAATACAAGTCTGAGAAATATTGTTAAATTTCAATTTAACAAGAGCAAAAATGACGGTAAAAACTGTAATTTAAAAATACGTAGAGTATTAACAAGGTACTCAAGCCGAAGGATATCGAAGGAGAGAACAAGTAAGTAATGAATATGTATTTTCGATCCAGTTATTTAGCCAGTGTTTGAAGATCTGAAAGGAGGAGGAGAGATATTGAGTAAAGCCTTTTCTTAAAGTCAGCTCAATACCGCTTGAAACGATGAACGGATCACAACAAAAGGAGACTATTGTTTCGTTTCTCACTAACGAGAATATGACCAATAATGAAGAAGGTGCAAGGGAGCATTAAGATCAATAGGAACTTTAGAATTTTAATAAGGAGAGCAATTTCACATATGGCGATCCAAAAGAAGAGCAATTGAACAAATCTAAAATTATATTTTCGAATGGGGACGCATGATAGACTTACCTCTACGTGGGTAATGCATTCTAATTCGGCAAGAAAGTCTATAAACCGGCAGTTGAATTCTGACTTCAAGCTACCATAATCCGACTCTACTTCATATTCGATCACTTTCACAGTACTCACCTTACCTTTTTCTCTACTTTTGTGTCCGTCACTTTTACAACTGTAAATCTCTCTTCTGCCCCCCCCCTCTCCACTTCTTCGACTTTGTCTGTTTCTTGTCTTTGTGAAGCCCAAAGTCAACTAAAGGGATAATGCTAACTACCGTATATCCTGCCATTTGATATAACTAAATATTTACAAACGACCGCCATTAGTCTATTTTGGAAATGCTTGAAATAAATATAATAACTTGAAAAGAATTGGCAATTAAGATAGGAGGTAAACCAGTAAGGTAAACTAAACGAATCTTGACGATTTTTATTTATCCTTTTACATCTAGGGTTAACATGTCATAATCAAGTAAATCACATTAATAATAATGTTTTCGAGTGAATAAACTTAAAAGAATATAACCATGAATTATCAACATAATTCAGACATTTTCTTACAATCACGTCATAAAGATCGAGATGAGTCTAGACTCAAATAGCTTTTGGGACGACATTTAACAGGATAACTACTTATAACATAGAGTAAGCTTTAAGTCATCACTAGAGTTAACATTATTGAAAAGTATTTAATATTTTATTTCGCATTAAGAAAAATAAAATTAACGTTACTCATAGGTTAAATAATCAACATATATTTTCAAAAAAATGTTTTTGACAAACAAACTGCTGTGTTGCATGCTAGCAGTAAGATTAATGAAAAACTTATGTAATGTGAATATTAGGCATGGGGATTAAAATATTGATTTTAATTCGATAAAATGGTTCATATCCACAAATTAAAAACTCGTTGTGCATCAATCTTGAATTCAAATTAATTTACTTTACGAGATTTAGAGCCAGAACACAGTTGTCAATTTTAATTACTTTGTTCTAGGGTTTTAAATCGAGTTTCTTCATCAAAAATATTACATAAAAACAAAATATAAATGCCCAAATGCACTGCATTAACAAGGCAATCAATAATTGGTTACTGCAAATTCAACCTCGCTATTTTGATTGACCAATAAATCTAGCCTATGTAGACGCGGCATTACGAAAAAGTGTGAATCTATACTAGTTTGCAATTTTCCGCTTTGCTTGTGGGCAAGCTCTAGAACAACGTAGCAGGTAATTTAAAAGCGTATCCCTTCCTCTCTATTTTATAAGGTCTTGCTGAGTGTAGTTTAAAATAGTAGAACGGCACTTATATATCAGATAATATTCAACTGAATTTTGAAAGTTGTAGACAAATGAACTCTTCTTATATGTTTTTTAAGTTAACTGCATTTATTGTCTAAATTTTCAAAAAGCTTATTAATAATACAGCAGTGTTGCGGCGAGGTTTTGCTCTGAATTATTGTATCTTTTGCATTTAAGCAAATATTGAACGCTTTTCCTGTCATTTAATTTACCAACGAGGTTAACTAAACTATTTTGCTCTTCATCACCATTACTTTTCCAGCTCGAAAAAGTGTTTTTCAAAAGATTTCGCTATATGCTCACTTTGAATGTGTTGCTCAGCGCTTTTCTTTAAGGCATTATCATTCTTGTTTCTGTTTATCTGGTTATTTCGAGGCTTCACTACTACGATATTTTTGTAAATGAAAGCTTCTCTCGATTTCTCAATTTTGTCTTTTCTTTCCTTCTGCACTATATAGACCATAGGAAAAAATAAAGCAATTATTTCTAGCTCTTAGTCGAATTTTATTGAAGTTTGGCTACGCTCGTGTATTGTTTTTCTTCTACCTACTTACCCTCGCGGATGTAAGCTTCTGTTTTTTTAAAATCAGAACGTTAAGCCAATTCTCCATTCAAAACAATTTGCACATGCTCCGATGGTTACAAATCGATCCCAATAAGGAATTCTCACTGTTCGGTAACCCTCTATGTTTGTGCTCAGTTGCTCAAGCCTCTCAGTAATTTTACCAATCATTGAGTTCGAGTAAGACTGTCTTCTTTTTTCCCTTATGTGTATCTCTGCAAGGAGACTTTCGTAGCTTTATTTGGATACGAAATTCCAACAGAAAGCCACTTTGTTTTTATCGAAATCATACTTCAGGTAGTTGCATATTTTCTAAATTTTCCCTCGTCAGTCGGTAAATTAAGCCGTTATTTTCTAATCGAATGCTGCAGGATTGTACAAGCTTGATTAAATTGAAATAAGTATGGCCTCTGTATCCTATTTAGTGCAAATAAATTATTTGTTGAATTAGTTCATTTTCCACATTTCTTTGGTGTGTTTTATGGTAATAACTTGGCGACGGTTGTTTCCACTTCAGCATGGAGTTTTCAATTCCAGTTATTGTATTGATTCTACTCAGTTTGGAGGGGAGATTTACAAATGCGCAGGATAATACTCCAGAATGTATGGTGTGCCTCGTTGGTCTATTGATTAATGGCTAATTAGATAACCAAGCAGCCTATAGGGCGAAAAGGGAGATGCATCTCTTTCAACTAGCTGAATGGTCTCGCATGAAAAATCCGGATTTGATGGATACGATCAAGTATCAGATGGCTGGAACAATATATCAAGTCCGTTTCCATTGGGTCTTTTAATAACAATTATCAATTTGATTTAAAATAGGTACTGTCAAATGCCAAAGACGTTCTGGATAAAAATGAAGCCAATGACCCAAGCCGTATTCCGAAGAATTCGGAAGCCGGTGAAGGTAATTAAAAGATTTTCTTAATTTTTCCTATTTCTCAATGTACTATTACGCCTGGGTATTATGGGTATTTTTAAGTTCTATTTCTCTTAGTCATATTTGGCTAGAGCCTTCTTTCAAAAGTTTACTCTAAAACTGATTTAATTGTGGAAACCTATAAGTAAAAGGTTTTAAATCGGAGTAGGCATTATCATTAGTAAGACAATACTTTCATTTCACTTACCTGAGTTTCTAAATGCCTCTTTTAACGAAACCCTACTAACATAATTTTAACGGTGGCCTTGTTTTATAAAAGGACAGGAGTGGTTCTTTGTGTAGTGATAAGTACGCAAATTGTGTTTGCCTTTATCTTGATATGTATGCGAGTGTTGATTCTCCCAATACTAGGGTTAGTACCGACGAGAACTGAAGGGAGGTTCTTTTTTTGACCGTGCATCGAACTAAGTGTTTGCTCGATTATATGTGGTTGAAGTCTGGCTTAATTTACCAGGTTCAGAAATGGCTATCTGTTTGCTACTCCGCATTATAGCAACTTGCCAATTAAAGGTGTCGTTTTTCCTTAGCCCCCCCCCCCCCTTAAAATGCACGAAATTTTATGTGAAGTCAAGTAACTAGTCGTTTTGGAAGTGGTATTTCCCAAGAGGTCTAGTGAGGTCATTTGTACCTTCCAACTATTTGCTAATCTAAGTGGTATCTTTAATCGTAAATTGAGCTTGTAAGGTAGCTTGCCTAGTTTGACAAATTGTCCACTGTCAAATCCGCGATGCATTGTGATGGTCACCGCCATCTACTTCCTATGTTGAAAAAACTTGACATCTGGAGCAAAATGTCTATAATCATCAGTGTTCGTATTGTTTATCGTTGTGACAAACTGTGTGCCAGAGGTACGAATGCCCCGAGTGGACAAATATTCCATAGGTGTGGTTGCCCATGGTCGTCTAGGTTACAGCTTGTTCTACTGATCACGAACAAGTCTCCTTTAAATTGGCGGTGTTTTTATTTTCGCTGTCATCCTTCCCCACACGTGTGCCTTACACAATTATTATGCTCTATCATGCTCGCAAGATTCGTAAAAGATCCAAATTTAATACACTGATCACTACACACTCATCTGATTCATATAAGCCAAGTAGTGGAAAGTTTACCATGGTCGAAAAAAGTGCCACGCTCCAACGTAGACCTTCGTTGAACACGACAATGAATAGATGTTTTGAGAAATTCTCTCTTTATACTGATATTGATTCACTATTATTCTGCATTAGATATCGGTAATTTTATTTGATTAACCATAAATATCTATATCTTGCATCAGAGATATTAACATCGCAACGCTTGAAACGAGAAGAAAATGACAAATCATTTCCGGAAATCGTTTGCTTAGACTAATCATAAAGTATCTGCAAATATTTTTTGCACATCTGGTCTGTGTTTATTTTCACAACTTTTTATCTACTTTATTCGGTTCTTAATGTGCGAAAAGGGCGATCTTCTTCCGAAAGACTAAAATTACCCCCCCCCCCCCCCCCCCCCCTCCACGCTTACTAGAAGCCAAGAGGTCGATTTAATCGACGCTTATCAAATACACCAAATAGGAGCGACTTTCTACAATTTCCTTGCACAGGGAAGCACATAATTGCCTATACCCATTTTAGCCTTGCTGTCCACCAGGTGATTCCTGACTCTGCAGTGGTTTCATAACTAAGCTATTTCTTTAAATTATTTATTTATTTTAGCATGGGCATTAGTTGTTGAAAACAGTGCTCTTTTGTGCGAACTCGTTGTACGTTTCCCTGAAACTGTAAATTCCCTGTTACTTCAACCAAATAATCACCAAATAGTTGGATGGGCATTGGATTTCCTCTTGGAAACCAAATATCCCAATGACAATGATAAGAAGCTGATCCAATTTGCAAAATATGAGCTTCACTTGGCTCAACTGCCGGAGAGTTATAGAAATCCATTCAGTGAAGAAAACGTGAGTGGATGAATTTATACGGGACATTTTGCTTAATAATGATAAACAATTCACTTTCTTTTCTTCTCATTTGTAGCAAAGGGCTGTCAAGGATATCCTAGTAGAATTGGAAAAGAAAAAGAAACGAAGTGAAGGCAGGCAACAGACTAGAAAACCTAAACTGTCACCTCGAGCAGACCTATGACGAGAATACTCGAATAATTTAAACATTACATGGTTTCCCATTTTCCGTTTCTACTTCAAACGTCTAAAAGCTTGATAATTTTTATTGGGTAAAACTCAAGTAATAATTTTGTTAATAGGCTGTAAATATATGCAAAAAATTGAATCTGTATTCGCTATAAGTCTTGAGTTTGATTTAGCCCCATTTTTAACACGCCAAAAAAGTGATATTTTATGCCATTAAGTTTGTGGAGTCGGGTTTGCTAAGTGCTGGATATAGCAGATGGGGAATATTTATTTATGCCAAATGGCAGGCTTTATGATAGTTATCACTATCCCTTTAGTTGACGTCGCGATTCATAAAGTGCAGAAACTGACAAAGTCACAAAAAGTGGAGAGGGGGAACAGAAAAGTGATTCACGGAAGTAAAAGAGACAGAAATAAAGGTAAGGGAAAAGGAAAGGTGAGTACTGTGGAAGCGGGGGAATATGATATACATTCGGGTCATGGTAGCTTGAAGACAGAAGTCAAATGCCGAATAATGGACATTCTTGCCATATGAGTATACGTTGCTCAGGGTGGACTGCGTGGAAGTAAGTCTATTGCTCACCCCACGGATGGGAAATATCGGGTGACGGACATTGCTGGCTTTATTGGTTGATACCGGTCAAGAGGAAACAGAAAGGTATATTCAAACAATGGGGTTTCAGGTTAAAATATCAATACCATATACGAGTGCTAATGAGTACTTACATTTAGCGGGTTCTAAACTTCGATGAGCAATAGTGTTGAGTTTAACCGTTAAGGATTCATATTAGCAAGACCAAGTTCTTTTTGGGGAGGTATTCAGTAAATTTAGCAAGGCAAAAATTTAATAAATCGGAAGATAATATTGAAAGTATGGACTATCTTGTTATTATTCAAGTTCAATTAAATAAAGAAATGAAACGAATTAACAAGTTATTAACCACAAAATAAAGTCAATAAAGTAAAAAAATGATTTCATATTTATAATCTATATATTGCCACCAAAAAAGGTTACAAATAAATTTAATTTTGGTAATTAGGTGATATCTTTTAGCAAAAGCGATTACAAGAAAATAAAGTGGTAAAATGTAACCAAATTTATATCACAGGACGAAATTAATTGTTAGATTTCGTTTGATTGTCAATTTTGGTGGTTAATTAAAGAGCCACGATGACGTTTATTGGGTTGAAAATTGTGAACTATTTAAGTAATGAACATTATGATGCATTGATATTATTACGGTTTTAAAATAGTTTTTCGATATGAAATATTTTGTTTTAATACCCTCAAAGGGGTCAAAATACCCGGCAGTTTTCGACTCTAGAATTTATGGACTTTATTGGCTGGTTCTTTGTGGCCAATTGCAAAGCATTTCAATTTTGTTCAATACTTTTTAATTTCTTACACTGGAACAGTATTGAATTCGTAATATTCACCAATTTATATAACATAGTAGGTTTTATAGATCTTGTTACATACTTGAATCGATTTATACTGTTTTCTCCTTCCGTGTTAATCAAGAAAATTTTCAGTAAACTACTTTAGATTTGGCGGAATGGCGCTTCATGTCGATCCTCTCAAACGGGAGCTGCTTGAAGCTAGGATTCAGGGGTCTCCAAATCCAAACGTTTCTGGAAAAGCACAAAGTATAAATTCTGAAATCCTTCCCCTAAATGAACGGCCTAAATGTGGAACTTCGGATGATTCTGCTCAGAATACTGCTGATGTTGCAACAGTTGATGCACCTATTTCTAGTGGAACGTCGAATGTTGGGATGCAAGATGGCCGACTAGTTCCTAGCCAATCCAACAATGTCAATGCTCCTAACTCACTTCGAAATTCATTCCAGGCACCAAACAATCCCGAATTCTTGAATTCCTTTTCCGTTAACATGACCGATTGTCAATGTGTTGACAATCGTGATTTTGCAGGAGCTAGACCCAATAACCATGGCTCAGATTCTATTACTTCTTCTGGAAATATAGCAGAAACAGTTGTGGTCACTCTGCCCAACAATATGGAGGAAAATAGCCAAAGCCTCAGTAGTGTCAGTGGTGACGGTTTATCCCGGGGTAATCGAAATTATTCGCAGGTCCAGCACGGTCAGAATATTATGCGTCAAGCAAACATCGTTCCTTATTCCAATACCAGTGCCCTTTCTAATCAATCCCTCTCCTTTGATATGGCTTGCCAATCCATTCCTGGTAATGATTCACCTGTTGGCTTTACCACAACGACTCCCAAAAAATCTAGAAACTTCTCTGGTGCACCACATACCCCAAATCCTGTGAACGTTAATGCTCCAAAATCTACTGGTTTAGTTTCCCCGAATGCTCAGCAACCGACAACATCTCGTACCAGTATTCGGAGAAAAAGAAAAGGAGCTATTTTTGATGAGCAAGGTCCTCCCCAGCCCAAACGATCAGCAGCCAGAGGTCACAAGAGAATTGATGAAATTTTTAAGGTAATCTACCCTCTTAGCTTTATTAAAACTACATTTTATTCCTGTTGATTAATTACCGATTTACGAAATTTTTAGACACCTCAAATTCATGGCAATGATGAAGCCCATATCGATCCTAATGCCAGGCCTGAGAGTTCTCTTAGGCCACTTCTATCGCCACTTAGAGGAGGAAGTAATAGTTGTGTGACAAGTCCAAGTGATAGTTCAAATGATGGGGCGCCCCACAATGGCCCTACATTAAACTCAGCCAGTGTTGCCTGTTGCAGTACCTCAGTACAAACCGAGCTTGATCCCAGTGTTTCCATTCCTCCCACCACTCCAGTGGTTCCTTCTGGTCTGGCCTTACAACAGATTCCCGGCTCTCCCTCAGTTGCTCCTCTTAGCCTTGTTGATAGTCTCAATCGGCGACTCGCTGATCTGGAAATGGAGAATGAATTTAATCGAAAGTCTCTTCAGGAGGCCACTGATGTGAGTGTTCGATCACGACAGATTATTCGAGACCTACTTATTGAGAAGGTAAGCGAATTTAATATCTTTGTGTTTTATTCACTCGGTTGTGCAATATTTTATGTTGAAATTGCTTTCTGTTCTGTTTAGAGCGTCCTTGAGCGCAAAACCACTCGGCAAAAAGTCATGAATGATCGATTGCGACTCGGGCAATTTGTTACCCAGCGACAGGGTGTTCATTTCGAGGAGAAGTGGGTGGAAGGAAATCGATTCAAGGAGTTAGACCAGTAAGTTGTCTGATTAATTGCCAACCGGTTTTTCATTATTATTAATCAACGTGTTACTATATTTACTAGGCGACGGAAGCAAATTGAGGAAGTGAAGGAGGAGATTGAACGAAAGCGAAAGCAGTGGAATAAACGAAAACCAGGAGCTGATAACAGAAAGAACAGCCGAGCTCGCTGTGATGAGTGAGTTTTCATTATCAATTTGGTCACATTTTCCATTTCTGAAGTGTTCACATTTAATGTGCTATGTAGCTTACTAGCGTGCGAAGATTTAACGAAGTCACCTTGAATTTTAGGGATTGCTTAAATAAACTGTCTGTGTGCTTATTTTTATTGGTAATGTAACTTGTTCATCTATTTACTAATGCCTACTAGTGAGTATGCATTTGGATTCAGATTTGTATTTTTTGCGATTAATAGATCGTTCCCTTATGAGAAATTGGTTTATCTCTTCAACTTGAGGCTATTAATGATATCGACTATACCTTTACTTATTGCCACCTTGTACTATCTTTCTCCATTGTTATCTTAATCCCTTTTTTATGGTGATATGTACCTATATCTCTTATTTTTTGCTAGATCTCTGGTTTGTTGTTTTCCAATAATATGGATTTATTCTTACCGATGATTTTGATCGGTATGCTTTCCTATGTGTCTTTTTATTGGTGGCTTGGTTGAGATTATAAAGTTTTGGAAATCTAGCTGTCTGGTCATCTAATTTCTGCCGATAATGAGTGTGACTTGCTGTTATCTAACCGTCCAACAAGAAGTGGTTAGTTCTTTAGTTAATGTGCATTGACCACGTCCCAGTGCGAGATGGAGTGATATATCTTTTTGTGTGCAGTTTTTTGTATTTCTATTACCCATTTGTGTAGTTTACTGCCGCTCTGCGTCACCCGATGCGGTGGTGGCCAAATTTTGCGCTTTCATACCACTATGTAGATGCTTGTATCTTCTATTCCTTCTTACTAAGTCTTAAAATTACTTCTTTAAGGGTTTCTGTGGACGAGTTCTACGAGCAGATGGAGATATATGATCTGCGAAAGCAGTTACTCCTGAAAGAGGACAAGGAGATAACAAGTGAACTTGAGCGACTAGACCGGGAACGGAATCTGCATATTCGTGAAATCAAGCGAATTGCTAATGAGGATGCATCGAGATTTAAGGATCATCCTCTGCTTAATGATCGGTACCTTCTACTCAATCTCCTTGGCAAGGGAGGCTTTTCAGAAGTTCACAAGGTCCGTTTATACTTTTTAGCTGTTAATAAACTCCCAGTTTACAACATTTTACAATTTTTGTGCTCTTATAGGGGTTCGATTTGCAGGAGAATCGTTATGTCGCTTGCAAAATTCACCAGCTTAACGCAACGTGGCCCAAAGACAAGAAAGATAACTACATAAAGTACGCACTCATTTATTTTTCTTTCTCTTGTGCGAAATTGTATTTTTATGCATATGTGTATGCGTGTATTTTAATGACTAGAGAGTAAGCGGACTATTTGCCTTCATTTAATTCTTGCTCTTGAGTGCGTCTCACAAGAGTGCAAATAAAATTCTTGACTGAGTCGCTGACTTGTTATTACTTATTTGCATATCCATATTCCATTGTAGACACGCCCTTCGGGAAATTGAAATCCACAAAACTCTCAATCATCAGCGGATTGTTAAGGTCTTCGATGTCTTTGATATTGACCATGATGCGTAAGTTGTGGTGTTCATGATGTCCCTTTATTTAAACACTGTTCAGTATAAATGAATTCGATAATATGATTTATGGCTTTTAAGCTAATGGATTGAAAAGACCTCGGGGACACTATATTTTCCTCTCATATCGAAATTATTTCCCAGCTTCAACTTTTAACGCTTTGTTCCGTAGTTCGTATTCGTGAAAATATTTCCTCAGGCTGCTCTGAATTTTGAATAATAATAATAATATGCTTATAAAATTCCAATAAAGCGAAAAAAGTTGAAAAGTGGTTGCTTAACCTATTTCTTAACACATCAATTTCAATCGTAAAAGTTTATTATCGTAAAATCGGGTCTATATTGTTATTCAGTGCCTATCATTGATCGAGTTCTGGTCTCCTTTGTAAGCAAATGCGGCTGACAATTCGTTCCTTGGGTGTGCACAGATAGTCATCAAATCCTTAACCTTGCTGCACCACCAGCGCACTCAGATGTTTGCTGGGGTAAATGCACTAGTCAATTTAGGTGTGTATTTCGGTTAGATTGGCAGTAATCAATTTGGGAGTCTGCCAATTCAAGGGTCAAGAGATCAATACTCGTTAGCTCACATCTATTGGCGTAGCCGCTCAATTGGACTAGTCAGTTATGGTCAATATGGGAGGTGGTAGAATCTGAGCTTCCCTTCCTAAGATGATTGTAATGGGGTTAAGGTACGTGCCTTGTCCCAATATTTAGTTACCCATTGTGATTGAAGGTATTTCACATGCAGCTAGTACTAAATCCCTTCCAATCAGATGGGTTAGTAAGTATCAAGAAGGGAATGACTATATGCAATTTTTTTGCCTTTCTTGATGTAAATAAAGCCCTTTCTTGAAATTGGTCTTAAAATAGTTATGATTACGGCAGCGCAAGTCGCTTGACCTAATTTTTTCGTTTCAATCTTAGGTTCTGTACAGTGCAGGAGTACTGCGAGGGCAATGATTTAGACTTTTTCCTGAAACAGAATAAAGTGATTCCTGAGCGAGAAGCCAAATCAATAATCTGCCAAGTCATATCCGCATTGAAGTACCTAAATGAACGAAAGCCTCCAGTCATTCACTATGACCTGAAACCAGGTGATTACTCATATCATTTATAACCGCCCCCCCCCCTAATCCTTGCCTCTCCTAATGCAACTTTATTTCCTTTAGGTAATATCCTTCTCGGCTCGGGAGAAATGTCCGGTGAAATAAAGATAACAGATTTTGGTTTAAGCAAGTTGATGACAGAAGATTTATACACTCCTGATATTGGAATGGATTTAACTTCCCAAGGTGCCGGTACCTACTGGTATCTACCGCCCGAGTGCTTTGAAACGGGTCGAGAACCTCCAAAAATCTCCTCCAAAGTGGATATATGGTCTGTGGGCATCATATTCTTCCAGTGTCTCTACGGAAGGAAGGTTCGTATTGGTTGATTTTGAAAAAAATTGTGTTTATTTCTTCAATTTTGCGCAAGTGTTCTAGTTCAGCTCAATTTGACGATGCACTTTTATTCGTGTGATTGATTTAGAATCAGGACACACCTTTCGACTGCCTCATTTGTAACTTGTGCTGTTGTTTCACAATTGAGATAAGCAGTCGTATTTTGGTGTTTAGAGAGTTCACTCGCTAGGTTAATTTCATTACAAAGAATACATGCCGAATACTGGGCTATGACGATTTTGTTACTGTGTATTAATTGAGTGGAAAAAAGGAAGTGCTTCTCCTGAGCTTGGGTTGGTAATCACTCTATCTGGCTGGTGAATGGATCCTGTTTTTTTTTCAAGAATACATGTTCACTCTTATGTATATGCATATTTGTTGGTAGCGAAAATTGTGTAATATTGGAGCACACGCAATTTGTGATACTTGCCTCTGTTGCTGAGATGGGCCTTAAATTTCACTAGAGAAGAAACGCTGTGGGCACACAGAGTGTTAAGATTGGTTGAGTAATGAAGTTAAGACCAGATTTCTTGTTTGGAACCATTGATTGATCATTTCATTATCAATCTATTAACACCCACTCAATGGACGAAGTCGGCTAATAAAGATGGTGACGAATTCTAATCTCACCAAGAAGGGGTTCCATGGTTCAATTCTCCATCCAACCTGAGTTTTGGGAAGCGCTTTCCTAATTATTGCTATCGATCCATTAAATTACTTGTATTGGTCAAAATTATTTGCACTGAATTTGTAGTGCATATAGTCTTCACTTTAAAATTTCTGTGGTAGAGACTGATTTTACAGAATGTTCAGTTTGTGTGTCCTTAAGCTGAACTGAATTTTTGTTGGGCCATCGTTGTTAGCTATTTCTGCCTCTTACTTATTAGCGTTATTTAGTTCCGAAATACACGCAGCGTGGGTTTTGTGTGCGCACTGATGGAGCTTGTTATTTATTTATTTATTAGTCATGACAAAAATTGGCCATGGTTTTTTATAAGTAAGGCAGAAAGGCATCTCAACGTTACTTATGGAATATGGGGTTTATTAGGAAGTGTAATTAGTTGTACTTTGGTTCATTTAGTATTTCAATAGGATGTAGGACGTTTTACGGGGGTTGATTGGGGGTTAGCTCGTCGAACTTGCACATAATATGCGGTTTTATCTGAAATCCTAGCTGCACTTAGCAATGGCATATAGTTTCCTTAACTGCCTCGACTTCCATTATGGAATATGCCTAGTTGTTTTTGATGACCTTGCCATTAATTTGAGCCTCTTTTGCAATTATGTATTGCCATTGTCACACCAATGTACCGATGCTCTGACCCCATTTTAATATTTCGGCCTGGAAACCTTTATATATAGTGTTCCTTTTCGATTATCGTGTTAACTGGTGGTAGTTATACTTCATGACTAAATGGGGAATGTAAACCGCATTTTTTCCACATGTTTGTAAATTTAATTTCATAGGCCAAGCTTATATGCAAGGCGTAGTTTGACATATAGTGACTTGTAAATGGCGTCAGGGCAACACTGGAATGACGTCATGGTGTGAGCAAATAATGCAATAAAATGTGATAAAATGTACTGCCACAGTAGTCGATGGTGATGAAAATGGACTTAGTTACCTTGGCGATGTAAGTCGTTGCCATTTCTGCAGAATTTGCTACCCCGCTGAATTGTTTGTAATTTGCACCTTAGCGTTATAGTGTAAGAGGAATGAGGATTTTTCGTGCGTGATTATTGTACTGATACTAACTCCCAAGGTCCAAACGGATGCTTAAATTGCATTGGAGCGTGGGAATTATAAGAAATCGGTCGGGCAAGCCCTAGATGGGTTTGCATCAAAACCTCTTACTATCGTGCCTTATCAATCATATCCTTGTGTTTATTTCTAGCCCTTCGGACACAATATGTCACAAGCGGACATTCTTCATCAGAATACCATTCTTCATGCTCGCCAAATCATCTTTCCAACCAGCCCCAAAGTCAGTGATGCTGCCAAGGTAAAAACAAAATCTCCATTTCCTACTTTAATTGTGTATGCCACTCAAGTTAGAGTTTACGAGATTTGTGCATATCTAGTGACGTTACTGACCAACAGTGTTGGCTAATCCCAGTTACCTTGTGAGATGGTAGAACATGAGTTTTTTTATCAGAGCAGTTCTGATTTTTGCCTTAACTCCATCCAAATCAAGTGTTGTTAGCACTTTCTCCTCAATTCCCATTTTAGATATGCATAGACTATAAGTGTGTGTGCGCGCTTTGTTTTCAGCCAACAGTAGCCTTCAATTTGTGCAGTAACGTCTTGTTTACTTCAAGACAATTATTACTATTGAATCTCACTTTTGCCAGTTATGGTTTCCCTTCGTCACATGTTAACGTGGGGGGGGGGGGGTATCTACGCCATGTTGACGTCATCCTAAAGGCCAATTAATAACCAGCATCGTTGTATCAAATGCCAGTTTGAGTGTGGGGTTTTCACATACCTTTTTCGTTCTTGTTTTAACTCAAACTCAAATCCAAACGAATTGTGACTTATTTTGAAATTTTAAGAAAAAAATATATTTAACGGGATTATTTGAACACGATGTGATTTAGATCTGCTCTTAGAGCTAATTAGGGAGATCTGTTTTACTGCTAAGTTTGATTTTCCTTTTGTTTGGAATAACTTGAGTGTCAGAGACTGTTTTAGCTTAGGCTAATTGTTCTATATTTTGATTTGTTAGGTTATTTTTTATCCATGTTTCTTTCCCACGTCAGTTTAGAATATATACATTTAACGAATGCAAAAGTTTGCATCCTGAAGCAAATCAACCTATTTTATGTTACCAGAATAGCGAATGGATAGTGTTAACAAGTCTCTCATTGATGTTAATCCCTTGGCGTATTCCACCTTTTTTTTAAAATACTTTCAATCAAATTTATGTATTGCTTAACCAAATAGATTGTCCTCGCTAAAATTCAAGCCGGTTTTGTTAGTTCCAAATTACACTTGGACTAATGATAAATATCATAAAGTCTGCCATTTGCAACAATAATAAAAAGTTCCAAATTACAAGGTCTTCTCGTGGTTTGTTATTCATAATTTGCATCTCTTCATTTCTCTATTTAAGGATTTCATCCGACGGTGCTGTACATACCAAAAGGAGCTGAGGCCGGATGTATTTCAGTTGTGTAATGACGACTATCTCAAGCCAAAGGCACAGCTTAAGTAACTTCACTCAATATTCTCATATCCTTTCCATTTGCATTTTTATTAATTGTGTGTATCCGCCTTGTAGGCATAGTGTTGACATTGGAAACCTTCCGGGTCCAACCGGTCTTCCTCCATCCTCTCTTTCAGGTGGCCAGCAACAACAGACGCCTGGTTCGAACACACCCCAGACGGGCTACATACCGAACGCCGCTTTAGGGATCTATGGAGGCCCTTCATCTGGAATAGTCATTCCATCGGCGCAAGGCCAGCCACAACACCAGCAACAGAATCAACCTTCCTCTCATCACTCCTGAAATCCTTCACTCTTATTGCCCACTTCGCTGCAAAACTTGTATGTACATACCGTGATGATGTCCCTCTTCTTCTGTTCGCAATATATTAATCTCTCTGTCTGCTATAAAAATAAAATCACAGCATTTTCCAACCGTTATCACTTTCATCTCACCTTCTCCACGGCCTTTTAGCATATAAATATATATATATATATATATATATATATATATTTAAAGATTTTTGATGTGTGGTGTGTGCCACCACCCTGTTATTCATTAACTTGGCCACCGCCTTGGTTTCTACATATACGTACACACTCACACATACACACAGAGTTATTTTTGTGCTGTACGCGCAGTAACAGCCTGTCTGTTCCTGATTGACTGTTTCCCATTTTCCCTTCCTGGCACACATTGAGGTTGCCTCTCTGTGTGCATTTGCGGGTCCATGTTTATTCGGCGTTGTTTTCTGCGCCCCCCCCCCCTCCCTTTTACTGTGCTTCTCTGGTCTCAAAGAATAACTTTTCACTTCTATCAAACGTTTGAATTTCCTCACCCCCTTTTCCCGAACACTCCTTATCACCACTGTTTTCCCCTCCCAGCTCTTTCACGTCTCCTTTTTGTGCGTGCTATATTATTGGTGACATTTGAACAAATTCCTGGTCATTCTTTTTTCTTGGGGTTAAGTCTGGTTTGGGTGGGGGAGGGGGGGGGGAGTTGCATTGGTTTTGTTCACTTGTATACGCACATGTCGCGTGTTGCTGATGTAGTTGGAGGTCATAAGATTAATATGCATTCAGATGACCAATCGCCAAACTAATTCAGGTCAACAGCAGCGGTAGTAGAGTAAGATTCTAGTGAGAGCGATTCCAATTTATACTCTCTCAGCTTCTAGCCTAGGCCTGTGAAGTTTTCTCCATCAGTCCTAGGTGCAAAGAAATACGCAGGCTAAACTGGTAGTCTTGCTAAGCGCTATGCTTGGGGGATGATGTTGATCGACTTAAAATGGCCATAGGATTGGTACTGGAATTCTTCATTGTTCATTTCACCTTAAGAAGGGCAATTTTGTTGACATCTTAATGGCATTTCTTGTGATCATTCGCACACAGTGGTCAGTTTCACACTTCACCGTTTTCATTTAACTGTCGCTCTGGGGGGGGGGGGGGGGCGACGAATTGAGATTGTTGATTGCTTTAGCCTAGACGGCCCTTGAAAATCAACCGTCATTTTGCGTCCTAATCTACTCACCTCTGTGAGCTTCCTTTCAATTCTTCTTGAAGAACCGTCTTGAGACCAAGGGAAGTAAGAAAACTTCAATTAGCATTCCAGAAATAGAGTTTTATTCTCCTATAGATGCTTGATATTATAGCACTACTCTCTGTTATGGAATGCACTACATTTACGGGGCTCCAGAAGAGGAGAGGTTTGCAATGACTGAGCGCTTCTCATACAGGTTCGAAGCGGTAGAAATAAATTGGCTAGCTTGCGATTCGATTCCCAAAGCATAAGCGTTGATTCGCAAAAAATGGTTAATTCAATTAAGCAAAGTCAATGAATTTCGTTCGCTTGCACCAAAATCCTTGGTTTGGCTTCTAAGCAGATATACAGAACTGGACCTGGAAAATGTGTAATTGATAGCGTTATCAGTTTGGTGCAGTTAAATCATTTATTAGGAGTTTGAGATAGACGATCATCCTAATTTCCCTAAAGGTTATTGTTATCTCAAATGGCATGCTTTATGGTAGTTATCATTAGCCCTTTAGTTGACCTTGGGCTTCACAG